TATTGGTCTGGAAGAAATACAATGCAACCAAGCTCTTATTATATTCTCCTTTTATCTGTTTGGTCATATTAATGTGGGATAATCATTATATAAATGCACAGGAGACGCAGTCAAGGACACATTCATTTTTAAAGTCCTCCAATGCTCTTGTACTTCAGTCATTCATCTTCTGTCTTTAATTACAGCAAGTGATCTCAGAAGCACTTAAAAGATTAAATTACTCAATTATTTGAAAAACCCAAATGCAATAACTGTATCTCTTTTCTGATAAATACCAGTGATTGCTGGAAAAGGTTGCCCAAGGCAAGAAATACTGGGAGGCCAAGGAGGCCATATTGTAACATTTTGGCTTAGCCCAGTGATACCCATTTAATTTTTCATTATTTGCAACTATTATTTTTATTTGCATTGATATTGACCACAAATGTTTCCATCCCTGTCCTGGTGGTTTCAGCAGCGAGGTGAATGTCACTGCTCAGCTATTACAAGGGTCTCGGCACCTCTCTTGAATGCGGGGAGAACCACATGAGAACACTGGGTGATAGCCCCAGCTTAAAAAGACAAAAGGCCACGGTTGGGCATTGGCATGGCCAAGTGGTAAACCCCATTCAAGGTGATGCTTGCGGATGGGGTTTGGTTTGGTGTTTGTGAATAAAACACGGGTGGTGGCTCACTCTGTGTTGGGGTGGGTTCTCTGCTGGTGAACCAGCCATGCCAGTGGGCAGTCCGGTCTGGCTTGGGCTCTGCAACCTCGTGGGAAGTAGGGAAGGTTCTTGCCAAGAGCTAGCTCTGAAATGGGTCTTTTAGTGTCCCACAGCCCCAGCAGGGAGCTGTTGGTGTGCCCTGTCTGCTATGGCTGCCAACGCTGTGACAATGCAGCTGCAGGAGCAGAGCTTGTCCTTATCAGCAGCCCTGTTCTCACCAGAGATCCTCAAATACAGCCACGGAATAATAGGAAGTTTTCTTTAAATTAGTTTTTCTACCTCCTTTGCAAAGCAGCAGACATGATGAGCCCAACGCTGCGAGTCTGGGTAAGGGGTGCATGCTGGTGTGATCCCTCCTCCCTGCACCAGGAGGAATGTGACTTTTCAGGGAAATTAAAATCCAGCCTAAAGAGCTAAAATCCTGCACTTTCCCTTCATAGGCCCAGTTCTGAGTTCCTGTCCCATCAGGAGCCACCCAGCACTGGGCAAAACACTGGACCAGCCATGAAGCCATGGGCAGACGGCACTTAGAGCCATGGTAGGCTCCTTGCTCATGCTGGGTAGCCAGCAGTGTGGCACATGGACGGGTGTGTGATGTTGGTAAACAAACTCCCTGCTTTCACCTCAGCCCATGGCAAGTCTCTAAACTGAAAGATTCAGGTTGGGAGGTGAAAGGACTTGCTGTTTGTGGCCAAGCCAAATGAGCTGTGGTGCTTCTGGTCCTACTGACATGGAGTCCTCCAGCCTGGCTGTAGTCGGCAAGGTGCAGTGGGGTGGCTGAGAGGACCAACGTCAGACTGCTCACAGGCACCTGGTGTCTGTCCCACACGTGTGGCTGGACACTGCTGGCCAGCAGATGCTGCTGAGAGGGTTACTGTCCTCTGCTCCCCCACCTGTGGTTCCCACGTTTATTTAATTTGGAAAAAAAAAAAAAAAAAAAAAAAAGTAATGTGATATGTATCCTCTTATCCTCTCAAGGAAAAGGAGTCGTTCCAGCAAGGAGCAGGCCAGGCATGGTCTGGGGAGGGATGGACAGATGGCCCTGGGGCTAATTTGCTCCCATAAATGGCGAGCTGTTGCAAATCCTCACTGTATGGAGCACTGGCTCTGTGTTTGAGCCGCGCGTCCGTCTCCGGGCTGCTCCGAGCAGGTGAAAGAGAAAGAGCAGAGCCTGCACTTTTAGGCTGAGTTTCCCCAGTGCCTTTTGCAGAATCGAGTATTTTGATTAAGAAATAACCCCTAATCCCTCTAGCTGGCTGCCAGCGGAGCTCCGTGCAGCTGCTCTGGCCAAGCAGGGCAGTCAGTCTCCTGCTGGAGCAGAAGCTCTTGCTGCAGAACCAGGAATTTTCTCGTTAAAGCACAGAAAACCAGGCCCCTATCCTGTCTCTTTGCAAACTGCTGCCAGTGAACCACACGCTGCAGTTTCATTCTCTGCTCAAGGTGAAGAGCAGCTCAGTGCGTTCAAACCATGGCTACCATCAGCCTCCCTGTCTCACCAGACGTGCACCCACTGGGAGAAGACTGAAGGCTCCGACTTGTCGTTACGGTGGGGCTAAGGAGCACCTGTGTGGTGGCACAGGCTCTTGGTTGTTTTCCTGCTTCCTTGGAGGAAAGAAGTAGAAACAATCTCTCTTCACCCCAGAATATTGTCCCTACTGTGGGGCATGGGACATTTGCAGACTCGAGCCCTTGCAGGGTGGCAAACCCTGACTCCCCCCTGTTGCAGCTGGGGCTGGGACCACTGACCATGATCACTGAAGACTGGACCTGGTGGCCTCCTGTGCAGCCTGGGCTGGGCAAGCGGGCTGCAAGCTGGAGCCCATCCAGAAGATGGGCATGGAATCATAGAATCATGGTTTGAAGAGACCTTTAAGATCAAGTCCAACCATTAACCCAGAACTGCCAAATTACCACTAAACCATGTCCCTAAGTACCACAACTATAGATCTTTCAAATACCTCCAAGGATGGTGACTCAACCACTTCCTTGGGCAGCCTGTTCCAATGCTTGCTACTCTTTCAGCGTAAAAATTTTTCTGACTATCCAATTTAAACCTCCCCTCATGCAACTTGAGGCCATTTCTTTTTGTCTTATCGCCTGTTACATGGGAGAAGAGACCAACTCCCCACTCACTTCAACTTCCTTTCAGGTAGTTGTAGAGAGTGATAAGGTCTCCCCTCAGCATTCTTTTCTCCAGGCTAAATATCCCCAGTTCCCTAAACCAACCCCAGTTCCCTCAGCCACTCCTCATAGGAGTTCTTCTTTAGACCTCTCACCAGCTTTGTTGCCCTTCTCTGAACATTCTCCATGCAGGGAAGAGGACATGGGCTCAAGCTGGGCTTAGGCAGGGGAAGAGAGTGGTGGAAAATAGCTACTTGTGGGAGGTCAGTAGTAAGGCAGTGGGATAGAGATCCTCATTTCAGAGCGGAAGGAGATGAGTGTCTAGGTTACTTTTTCTGCAAGAGATGCTAACCTTCATCAGAGGCATAAAGCCTCTAGCGTCTGGGTCCTGTTGTGGATGAAGGAGGGTATCTGGGAGTATGTGAGACCTCCCCAACATGAGCCTATGAAAGACAGGCAAATAGTTACCGGCAGTGTTGTAATGTTTTCCCTGTCGTGTACTCATTAACCCAGACCCACTGCTCTGTGTTGGCCCTTGAGTGTCACGTACCCGTGTTTTTGCTGAGCTGTTTCTTGCACGCTGGAGTGGGACAGTCTATGGTCTCACAGTGTTAGGTTAGTGTTAGGGATCTGCTCTGCTTTAGGGGAAAATGTTAGCTTTCTACATAGTATAGCTGAACGACCCATGATGTTGAAGGAACCAGATGCCCCACAATTTAAATTGTACATTTTAACAAACTGCAGACACTCACCTTGTTCTGAATTTGGGGTTTGATGCCCCGTATTCATGGTCCCAGCACAGGACAATGTGCAACTGCAGTTGTAACCACACGATCCACCTGGCCTAGCACCCATCCAAATGAAGGCCTTGTGCAGCTGCGATGGACGTACCTCTGGCAGGGACAGCGTGACATGGCCATGCTAAATCCCCAAGGGACTGTGAGCGGGTCATGTCATTGGCGTGCTGCTTTCTGTCTGGCCCTCTGGCAAGGTCTGTGTTCACTCTCCAGCTCTTCCATCTCCCTGCTGAGCTGGAGCAGCAGCAGCAGTTTTCATCCCCTCCTATTTGATTTGCAGGCTCCAGCAGTCTTCTGGGTTTTTTTGTTCCAGTATTTTCATCTCACAGTCGTTCCGGTATGGTCAGCCTGTGCTCGTGTTCAACAATGCCTGCCACCTCTGAGGCATGCCACGATCCTCCGAGGCTCACACCGTGCATCAAACAGCACGATGCCTTGCAGGTGACTCCTCCAAGGTGGTACAGAGAGGATGGATGCCCAGGAATTCAATGTTATAAAGACTGCACACACCAGGAGCTGAAACAGCAGTGCTGTCAGGCTTAAGACAGTCTGTGTGTCCTGGCATTGCTGCAGGTGGGTGGGAGGGAGAGATGGGAATGAGAGCGCATCACATACTATGGTTTTTGCAGGAAAGGATGGACTTAGGCAGCTGACCATCTCTACCATGGTAAAGAAATGGAGAAAAGTCCTTCCTTTCAGTCCAAAGTTTAATACTGAGCTTCTCCTGAATGGTGGCTTAACCTCTCCTGGATGGTCTCTTATAGATAACTCCCTGCTCAGCATTCTGTTTTTTGAGACTCTGCTTTTTTTGATAAGTCACAAGAAAGTTGGAGAGGTACAGGCCCATCCAAACGGACATTTATTTCCATCTGTACGTATGTGTAAGACAGACCACAGGAACCACTATCCTGCTGTATCACCATCACTATCTTTTGCAGTGGCTTGATAGATTTCAGGTGGCTGAAATCTGAATCTAACATTCAGCATCCCAGCTCCACAGTCATTCTTATGAACCTAGACTTGGATATTATGGAAAAGAACGTAGATGCAGAAATGTGGGTGAATTCAGTGGGAATCAAGGGCCTAAACACTGGTGAGGACCTGAGTTTACCTTTCTCAGGCCAGCCATCCTAGCTTAATAGCTTCTTTGGAAAATATAATCATTCCCATGAAGCTCTTGTGTACTTAAGGACACTACAGGATAAGTATAATGGACAACAATATCATTTTGAGCCTAAGATCATTACTGAAGTCCCATATCAGAACAGCTTATTGTACAGCAGGTTGCAATAAAGCAAAGAAGGGCTTAAATGTCCTTGTTTCTTGTGCCAATGGATGAAATGAGCACACAAAGGAAACATGATTCTTTAGTGTACGCAAATTTATTCAACTCTGCAATTATTTATTTACAACTAATGACTGATACCAACAGATGAGGTAAAAATATGAGGTATTGATATGAGTATAACATTTTAAAATGCAATTATCATAATGCATTCTCAATGGCAATGTAACAATACAAAATACTGTGGTAGCTGAATGGTAGACACGGTATAATGTGCATTTTAAAGAAATCTTATTTCATTGGTACATGGCTTAGAGATGCCGGAAGCACATGACAGGGCTTCTGCAAGGGTAGGAGGACAATTCTGCCTTGCTAACGGTGGCAGGTGGCACAGAGCCCCTTCCAGCTGAGCAATGACTTGTCAGACAGGATAAAACTACTGTCCAGGTTTTCCCTTCATTTCCTTATTTACTGTCAGACAATTGCCATTCCCAGGGCCAGGAATTCTGCAGCCATTAATACTGAGGCACTATTGCATTCATTTATGCAAACTAATGTAGCAGAAGTGCTCTAATTGCTTGTGTTTTGGAAAAAAAGCCAGCACAAAACCTGCTGCCATGGCTACACGCATTTGGGGAGGAGGCACAGCTTTCTGGGATGGCAGTCCTGCTGGAACATGAGGACTGGTCTTGTCCCACCAGTTCATAAGCCACTGCTTGCTCCTGGGAAGGCTGGATGTGGCAGCAGTGGTTTGTTGTGGCTGGCTGGTGACTGCCAGACCTCAACATGACCACCTAAGGGTTTGAGTGCTCTCCTGTCTTTAACACTTAAAAAACATGCAATAGTTGCACGTGGCAACTATTGTTGGCCATAAACTGGAGGCAGGAGCTCACGGACAGCCAACCTCCCTGATCCTATGAGTTACGCAACACCACTTCTGTGACATGGAAAGAGAGGCAGGTCATGAGAGGAAAAGACAACAGTGACTTTTTCGGAGTCCTGCTGCTCCATGGCATGACCAGGATGGGTCACCCTGCCCCTGTCCACCCTGAGCTCCTACCAGCTCAGTTCCTCAGATTGTAGGGCTGTCCTCCACCAGCACAGCCCTTATGCCTATGCATGACGGCACGTGGGACCGTGCCCTAGCAGCAATCAAGGACCGCACAGAGTCCACCCCACAGCACCCACACCTGGGGCAGACTCAAAGCACTGGCAGTGCCACTGCAAGAAAAGACTTCTCCATTTACTCTGTAGCTTCATGTAAGACATGTATTGACCTCATATGAAATCTTAGCGGATTTTGTTGGAAGGACTGAGCTAAAACACTGGCTATGAATAACTCAGCTGGTTTATGCAGCAATAAATAAAGTCAAAGTGAACAAATGCGATTAATGAAGAACAGTATTAACAGGCTTGTACATTCCTATTGGATCATAGATGTAATACAATTTTTGGTCTTCGGTTAGTTAAACACAAAACAGAACCCTGCCTTAAAGGTAACGTCAACAAATTATTATTATTACTTTTAAAGCATTCTTCCATTAGCAAAATAATAGGTCCCTGAAAATGAAATGATACAATAGGCTTAAATGGCTCCTACTCCTCATAGTCAGGGGCTAATCCTGCTCCCACCGATGCCTAGAGATGCAGGATCACGCAGATCAGTGCAATATAATATGAAAATGCTGTTACTATAAAAGCAATCTTTCCAAGCATAGTCTGCATTTAGTCTTTTAAATCTCCGAGTTGTGTTTAAAAGCTTCAAAAAAGTTTAGTTATTTGTATAGTAAGAATATTAAAAGGTATGGTATTCATCTGCACATCTGTGTCCACTGGATGTGGAAAATCTGCTTTGGAGTTTCTTAACAATTAGCCATCTCCATGGAAGAAGGAAAGAACAACACAGAAACACTTACTCAGAACCTAGACAAAACGCTAAAAAAAACCCATTTACAGCTTAATAACTTACCAGTCTGATTTCAGACACCTCAGCACAGACAGTGTTACCTTGTACTCTCCAGGAATGAGCAATTACTATGAATGCTGCACATAGTGAGGTTCTCCAGTGGCAGATATACCATTAATTAAGGCAACAGGTAAGTTTTCAACACCTTGTACACAAACTTTCTGCAGCTGAATAGAAATGGCCTTCAAAATGTCTACCTCAGTTACATTTCCATGTATTTTATTTGGTGAAACTGATCCACTCCTCATTATTTTTAAACGTACAGCAGCCTCCCTCCTCCTTAGTTCTTTTCATTCTTCCTACATCTATTTCTAGGTACCTTCTCACAGCATACACAAACACGAAACATATTTGACAACAGGTGTTTCTGTTGTCACATGGATTATTCCCAGTAGCCCTGTGACAATAGCAAACACAGCTTATGTAGTAGTGACACACTAAGAAACAAGTGACAGATTCATTTAAGGTCCGACTGATGCAAGTGATTTGCACTGAGTTATATACAAAATAATTAATTTATACATATACATATATATAGATATAATATAGATAAATATATACATACTGTACATAATTTATTTACAATTAAAATATGCTTCTTAGAAGCCTTTAAATACCAGAGTTCTGTAACACACAATTATGGCAATAGTCTGATTTTAAAGTAATAATGATAAAAGCTCTCAGAAGAAATGTTTACTTCAATAATTGAAATTAATACAGAAGGGATGTGGTGGGGGGACGTGAAATCTCCAGAACAAAAGAACTTTCCTATAAAATTCCTGTTTCACCTTTGTACAGACCCAGGTCTGGTCAGATTTCTGCAGCTTAAGTAAGATCTTTGCTTTCGGCCTTCCTGTTCCCTGCCAGACCCCGATTTATGCTCCCAGGCTCCCAGGAATGCTTCCTCAGATTTTTGTTTCTGGTCCCTCGGCAATCAGAGGCTGAAATGAGTTTCTGATCCTGGCAACTTCTGCTGCACACAGATGTCCAAAGCCTTTGTTGTACCACTCTGGGGAATGTCCTCTGAAGAAATGGAAAGAGAATTATTGAGAAACTCAAATACTTAAGAAATGTGCCCCGCAGGAATGAGCTTGTCATGCTTCCCTACTCCCCGCTGCCCACGGTGGTGGTGGTGACTTCAAATATTTGTCATTGTAAGCGTACTCTGAAGTTCTCCCTTGCAGTAATCAAATAAGCAGATTTTATTTCTATGATCACATCGTAACAGTGGGAGATACTGAGTGGAGAAATGAGCTTGGTGGATAGAAAAAAAAAGACTGCAGAAAGACTCCAAAGCAACAAAGCTACATTGACCATGTCCTCTGTTTCCAACATCTCCCTTCCCTGAGCTAGCGGTTTTTGCCCTGCTGAACGGACATCTGCTTTTTACATGTGAGATACTTACTTCAGGTCAATTCTGCAGATGTGGGTCAGTCTGGCTTTTCCTGAGCCACAAGGCTCTATCAAGTACTGAGAGTCCATCACGATGGCTCGCACAGCTCCCATAAGAGGAGCCTCTTCGTGCTCCACAGAGATGGCAACCAGCATGCACATCCCCTTTGGCAAATCTGTCCTCCATGTCCTGCAGCAACACATTCAAGACAGAATCACTTTAGTAAAGAAACTTTTGGGCACATGAGGAAGAACCAGAATTAAAGACACAGCTTGCTTGTCTGCTTATCCTTCTTGTTGCCTGCAATGCCACTGGACTGCCCCAGAAGTCCCTGGAGAAGTTTCCCAACTGGGAGTCTGACCATGATGTAGAATGGCCACTCATCTATGTTGTTGCAGGCTCCAGGTTGAGAAGTTTTGCTCCTTCACATGAGCATTTTGTAACCATTATGTATTACAGGGCATGATCCAGGCTTTTGCAGACAGACAGAAGTTTTGGAAAGGAGAAACTGAGCATAAGCCACCCAGAAAAGTCTGAAATTTTGCATTGCACCCGTGCAGACTTACAGAACAACAAATACAGAAATCCTCACTACGACCCATTTTGACTTCTGAAACTCCCAGAACATGTTTCCAGGCCGTCTAAATTAAAAATAAAATGTCCTTTTATTTTTCCTCTCTCCCAAGTTTCAATCCTCTCTTACATGCTGCAGAAGTTTTCCACCGAGTTCAGGAGCCCTAGACTTTAATACTTAATATTTTTTTCTTGTCTGTAAGTGTTCTCTACATATTATGGTGCCTCATATCTTTCTCCTCTGGTCTTTTCTATGCTGCGGGAAGAAATGAGAAATTCCCACTGTGTTGTGTAATGTGCATCATCTTGCCACGGACTGTCTGAGACAGGGATTATGCTATCTTGGGAAGTATCATGTTTTAGAAGGTAAGCTGCTTTCAAGGACTGCTGAAGTTTGGACTTCAGCAGATAATTTTAACATTATGCATATTTCCTATATGAAATTGAGCTGTTATTCAAGACACTGCAGGAAGATACGGACTTCAGGAGGTTTCACATGTGTCTGTGCATTAATAAAAATGATGAGTTATCTTGGCAGATGAAAGACATGGAGAGTAGGAAATCACATCTCAGTTCTACTGTCAAATGCTGAACCAGCTACTCTGAATGCCTTCAGAGTGATTAGATGTGACCATAGCATTTTGGTAACCACATGGCACTTACTTGGGCCGTTTGTGAAGTGGAAAACTATGTATCCAGAGACTGCAGAAAACTCATGATTCTTATTCCCAGCTATATGGGTTGAGACCAGTTTCTGTATTTCTCTAAATATCTTACAGTAGTAAAACCAGGCATGGCTCCTAACTCACAGAGATGCTGTGATACTTAAGAACATTAAACATTTGAGGAATCTTTAATGACAAGCAATGCCTGCGCAGGGCAGCGGAGAGCTGCATCAAATCCCAGGCATATGAAACATCACCCCTATCCTCTTACCATTAGAGCCTTCTCAAGGGAGCCTAATCCCCTTGTTATGACTGTTAAATTAGAAAAAAAAAAAAAGAACAACTAAGTTGTTCTTCCACAGTCAAAAGTTTGATTGGGAAGGAGAAAATTGCCGTCTGTTAAAACATATTTATTCATGTCCCCAGAGATGAATTATAATTTCACTGTTCACTTCCCACCAATCATAAGGTATCAAATTGACTGCGATATTGCTGGCTAACCTTGCTCTAGACCTAATGATATAAATCAAAAGAGATAAACAACAGAGTCTGACAGATCTGCCTGATGGCTGTTTTCAGCCCTTAAAAACCCACCAGGACTCAGTTTTATGATATGTATTTCAGTCCTTGGGGGTCATTCTGCCTGGGTTAGTGAAAAGAATGAGAACTCAATGGCAAGATTTTTCTTTAACTGATGTGACTGCACAGCAGGTCCTTAAAGAACATAAAACACCATGAAACCTAATAGTGTACTAAGTGCCAAATAAGGGGACAGAATTATGGTCATCAAAACCTCCCTGCTGCTCCCAGACAATCTTCTTGGTGCTATCAGAGGGCCAAATTTATCACCGATTTAACTCAATAATATTATTTAAGAAAATTAATTATAAAATACTTAATTTAGCCCAGTGTACTGCAGAAAGGCAAAGGAAATAGAGTAATGGGAGAACTGGTGTTTTAACATTATAAAGAACTTTCAGAAAATATTTTTTAAATCTTCCCCGAAGAGTTCCAATAATTCTTCCTTTATACCGACAATATCTGCATGTTATCATTCTCTAAGAGAATACTGAAGTTCATAAAAGGAATCTACTATTATAATTATATTTTATTGGTCTCATCTTTTTCCTTCAATCTTTGTTCCCTCTATTACCAGTCTGACTCACTGGACTATTTCCTTTGTCAAAACTGCTTAGTATTTCTCTGGCACATCATTTCAATCAAAGAAAGTAGAGACCAAGAATGGGAATGCACAAAATCATCCTGAAATAAATAACTGTAGGAATGACCCTGTAAGTGAAATATGTCAGCAGCTCCACAACAGCTCCTAGCAAGCAAAGGGCCAGGATTTCAAAGGCAGAAGGTACATAAGAGGAATATTCTTATCTCTTCTGTACAGGCAGATAGACAATGGCACAACTGGGACTGAATTTGGAATATTGATACACAGCTATACATTTATTTGAGAGATGTCATCCACTGGAAGACAGACAGAATACATATCTACTGCCCCTTTCTGTTCATTTTTACACTAGGATTTTTATGGGTTAGCATTTCCTGGTCTACAAAAACTCCAACTGCAAATCTAAAATAACAACTTATATAGACACAATATAACAACCTTAGCTTAAAAGCATCACTATCTTCTCTACTAAACATTTGGCTCTTAAACATCAAACATTCCCCAGAGAACAGCAAAAGCAGTGTAAAAAACAATTGGGTTCTATTTGCACTGTTTTGACAACAAACAAAGCGAAGAGGGAACAGCAGCTATTATCAGACATCTGTTCTAAGGAAGAAATGATATTTATGGCCTCAGGAGTATGCGCTGCTCAAATTACATCAGAGAAAAGGTCAGCATGCTCTAGGTGTACAATTTTAATTCAGTTTCAGAAATCAACACTGCTGCCCAGAAGTAGAGTTCTCGAAGCACAATTATACAGATGCGAAGGTTGAGGTAAGACCAGATCTTCCTTGTATGCACTGCAGGAAGCAAAGGGACTGGAGAACTGACCTTAGCTTACCTTAGAACAACAAAGTCTCGGACAGGATGAGGAGCCATGCTGTTCAAAACGTACTGGTAAACTTCTGTCTGCTTGTCCAGGCTCTCGACCACCTTCCACTGCAAGAAGTCCTCGTCCCAGAGGTGACGTTCTCTCAGCACTCGGTTCAGGACAACTGATGGGGGGGCTTCAACTTCCACCGAGGCTTTCCAAAGCCTAAGGGGGTTCCCATCCCCAACCTGGAGCAAAGTAACAAAACATAAAACCCCATGATCTATACGTGTATGTTCAGCAGAAGATCACTGATGACAGAATCTTGCTATGGGCAAGCTTAAGAGCATGCAGATTTCCCTGCTAACCATCACTATTACTGCTACTGCTGCTGCTCTTCTGTATGTGAAAACATATGCATACGAGCGTCAGATGGAGAAGTGACACATTACTTCTGCTCTCACACCAGCCTATATCTGGACCAGTTCCCGTAGTGCCAGTGGAGTTGCTGTATTATTTCTGGTGTGACAGACACTTTTTCAACCCCAAGCATCCTAACTGTAATGAAGAATATGTCTGTGTGTAGAAGTTAAAACAGACGAAAGGAGAGACCAAAACCCTGGGCTGAAATAAAGCTATCACCTTGGGCAATCTGATGCTGTAGCTGGGACTGAGCATCAATTAACTCTCCTGGTTAATTAATGGAAGAGCAGAACACATGTTGATTCACTTATGTGTCAGATACACAGATGTTTGCTCCTCAAAATAGCCGCAAGGGAAGTATTGGGAAAATGCCTTTCAAAGAAGGAACACTCGAACTGCTTGCTAAGTCGAGGTTCCTGTTACATCTCCACAGCGTCAATACAGGGAGTGGAAAGAGCTAGGCTATGTAACAGATGAATATCCCAAATTACACACATACATCCTATCTGCATGGTTTTGGGGCTACCATATTTCAAGTTAAATGTAAGCACTTGAAGTAAGATCTTGCAATGAATGTAAGATCTTGCAATCTTTCTAACCCCTCCCTATGCTGGCATCCTCACATACCAACACCAGCACTGCAGAAACCTGCAGCACCTCCCACAGACCCAGGATTGCATCCCCAGAAACCTACCTCCCACCTTAAATCATGTTGTTAAAATTCTCAGTTCCCCTGTCCTCTGCCCGGGAGCCTCAGGAGCCCCCAATCCCTTCTGCAGTCTCATGTGCCCGTGACCCCAGTCCTTTGCGTGCCCCGATTTGCTCCCTCCCCTCTCCCACATCCGACTCCCATCCTGAGCCCTTCCCAACCTCTGCAGTCCCTCCCTGGAGAGGTCACTCACAGAAGCTGGCTACAAACCAGAGAAACTGTGATTTCTTTGACCTAACAAAGCTAAGCAAAAGCTAAGCCTGGCTAAGTAAAGCAGCATGCAGCCTGAAGAGGCAGCTTTAATACCTACATTCTGGCTGTGTTCTCCAAACTATTGGCAAACAACAGGAGATGGTCAGAAACTTTTCCCGTTCCCCAAAGAGCTCAGACCAGTACTGTTATCTCTTGTTTAAAGTCTCAGCTCTCTCTCTGGTTGTGGTGTTTGCTGTATCACTTACTTTATCCATTTTGGAAACCTTAGCTTGCCTTGTGTGCCTTTTCCTGGAACCTCATACTTGAATTATTATTATATTCCATTTTAAACTGCTTTTAAGTAGTCTTAAAAAAACCTAATTGTGTGCCTCACTAGGCAGAAGGGTATGTGTTTAGCCATGCAACAAGTCAGGGTGTTCCATAGCTAGGCTGTATTTTGCTTTGGTTTCTTTATTGCTTTTTCTACGTCTCCCCAAATTACCTTTTTGTAGGCGAGCTCTGTGTTCTCTATACTGGAACATGTGACCCATCCTTTGAATTTCTCTTTTGCTTCTTTCTGGAGATTCTGCATGAGACTTTCCAGGTACATCTGATAATTCCCCCCTTCCTCATCCACTTGTTTCCCAAGCTCGTCCAGGGTGGGAGAATGCACTTCTGCATCGACATAGGAGTTTCGGGACTGGGTGACCATCTCATGAGGGACCTGTGCCACAGAAGATGGAGGGGAAACATACAGGGAAAAACTCCAGCTGAGAACTTTTCCTTAAGGCAATGCATTTCTAGGCTAATGGAGCATTCAGCATCCAACTGCAATGACCCTGTATGCTATAAAATGGATACCTATTTCTGTCTTTGCTCCTTACATTGCAAGATGAGAAATCAAAGTAGTATAATGAAACAGTCCGTAGCTCAGAATAGCACTACTCATGCAGAACCATATAAGACTGTCAACACACCTGTGTTGCTCCTCTAATCCCCAGAAATGTTGCCTTGTGCTTCCAGGAAAGGGAGATACGAGCATCTTCCCCCTGCAGTGAAAGATGCAGGGAGACTGCATCTCCCTCTGTAATTTTAGCTTTATTGCATGTCACACAGAAATAAAGTGTATGGGCTCTTCTTTTGAGATGAATAAGTTTTAATTGACGTGCTAAAGGCATCATAACAATATGAAATGTTAAACCAGCAGATTTTTATTTTAATTAGACTAAGATTTCCTAATCCAGTAATTTGGGTTGAAAACTGCCACAGAGTAATTACCCTGCATTTTTAATAGTTGCATCTTTGAATGCTAGAACAGTCATAAAGAAATGAGATAAATAAACTTTAGATGGAGCAAGTTTACAAATAAGTGAGGCACCATCAATCTCTGAGCTAATACAAGACAGAAAATGTAAGCGTAAGCATAAACATCAATACTTCAAAGGATGCTGCATTATGTGGCCATGAATAATGCCGTTTGAGTCTCTCACTCACCTCAAAAAGTTTGTTGCATTCCATTATCATGTGAGCAAGTCCCTGAGTAGCTGCCAGGTTTTCACTGAGGTCCTTCTGATCTGGCTTCCCTGTTGCATATTTTTTCTGTATTACTCTGTAAATGAATTTAGTGTCTCAGGTAAAACGAGCTGAGTCTTTTTAATACGAAAGCATACAGCAGCAGGATGTTCAGAACACCAGAGAGAAAAGCCTATCTTTAGCTTTTATTTATCACAAAAGATTGCTCAGATTGTTGGGCCATTTTTAAAGGAAAAATAGCTACATAAAATATTGTTGAGCCAAAGGTAAAAGCAGGAAAGGTTATGCATGTCCTGCATTATGTGTTGTACCTTTTGAAATGGATTTCTAACAGACAGGGTGTACAGTGGTTTATGTTGTTACTGCTAAAAGCACTTGCTCAGACACTGGTTGTACAGGTACATGACCACGAATCTCTGTATTCTTAACCAGATGCGGGGGAAAAAACAGTCAGCAGGGACACCAAGTTGGGACCACTAATGTTTAAGAGGGTCTATGCCCTGTTTAGTCTATGTTTACCATGCTACACACCATCTTAACATAGCTTGAAATAAACTCGGTTTCCCAAGTGGCAGAATGTAGCCAGAAAATACAGGGTGAAAAAACACTCACTGAAAATCCATGTGTTAAAATCCTTTAAAACACGGTCAGTCTTTGACTTCAACCAGAGCAAAATCAGGCCCTTTGCTTTCACAGAAGCCTACATTACTTATGCAAAACTCAGCAGTGCCCCATTGAAATTTTGCATGGAAAGCAGGCACTGCACGTTCACAACAGTCAGCCAGAAACACCTGCTGGGCTTCTGAAAACACCTTCTGTGCATGTGCAAGTGTGCTTCTGGCTCTGCAGCATGGGCCTTCCCCTCTCACTGAAGCCATGCCCTGTGTAACCTGTGCTGGAAAGGAGACTCTTTGGAAGATTTTATCCTGCATATCTTTAGAAACATGGAAAGCATAATTTTGCATCAAGGATATGACTCTTCGTGGTGTTGAGACGAAACTTACCTTGGTGAGCTTTCTTTTTTCACTATATTGAGGTGGAAAAGGGAAGGGGCCAGACAGACAGCTATGTTCATAGGAGTCATCTGATTCTCCTCCACGGAGGTGACGTCGCTCAGGAAGCAGAGCAGAGTCTGCAAAACCTCCCGGTTCTCGTCAGACATCAACATGATGGCCGCCTGCACCGCCTGCAGCCGCTGCTCCTTGGGGACATCTGAGGGAAAGCAAGAGACATTCATGGGGGTCAACTGTAAGATCAGATAAGGAGCCAGGAACACAGTCAGAACACAGTCACACTCTGGGAAGGGCTTTCTGAAGAGGCAGATGACAGGGCATGAAGGGGTGAAGCCCAGCTGGCTGTTGGCGGGCTGTGGTATTTGCTCCTCCATCAAGCACCACGCGCCTAACCAGTGCATGACATTTCTCTGCTTATTTGAAAGGCTCTTCCTCAAAAAAGAGACTGAACTTCACTTAAAGTTTATGAAAGGTAAGTAGTACTCAGTACTTCTGTCTTTAAATGGTATTTTTCAGGTTTCTTTTATCCCCTGGGAAGGCAGTTCAAAAGTCTTAGAGAAGCTTCGGGAAAGTACTTACACTCGTGTCCTACACCATAAAAAGAGTTTAATGAAAGCGGTAATGGATACGCTGAAATAGCATTTCAGACAGATTCATTTCTGAAACTACCATAAGTTTTCTCAGTTTGGACTTGGAGCCCTCCTCTGGGTATTACATACGCTCTATATAATTGAACAGAAGAAGAACAAAAGTAGATTTACAGTACAGGGAACAGCCTGCTTTTAAGCTCTGCCCGCTAGCCCTGTCCAAGCACTTTATTTTAAAAGCTTTCTGACATGGGTGACAAACTGAACACAGCCCAATGCTTCCAATTTTCTAGAAATGGCAACGCCAGGTCTTTCTGAGAAGTCAGGGGAGCCTTGGCTAAATCCATGCAACGTCTTTTCTCCCCACATAGTCTCCTGGCACTCCCATACCTGTGCTGGTGCACTGGTGGGTCTGATGCATAGAGAAGAAGACCGGCCAGCCTTTCAATCATAGGTTAACATTAGGCAACTGAGAGTTTTGGGGAAATGGAGAAAGCTTCCTCAAGGCTATGCCATATAGACTACTACACTAATCATCTCATCCCCGATCCTCAGTGTTACAGCAAACCAAACCATTCTAGATATATGAAAAAGGTCCTGGACATATGAAAAATCTTCAGTGAGTCCCAGAAAATCAGAAATCCCTTGCCAACACACTAAGAGAGGAAAAATCCTTCCTAACTTCACATTAGTAATTTGTTTAACAGGATGAAGGGGAAGAAAAACTCCCAGCTACAGATTTATTTAATTGCAGACATTATGAAATACAATTGGTATCCCAGCAATTTGCAACATTTTTCTTTCTGTAAAAGGAGTTTTGTCAGTAACGCCTGAAACAGAAAAATATATTTGTTGTTGGTTACATGGAAAAAAACCCCACTGCTACTCATTCTTCATCCAAATGTTGGTCTCCAGTGTCTATAGAGCCCATCTTCTCTTGTTCCCACCTTGGATTATACAAACCCATCCTCAAATCCTTCTGAAATCCTTTAAATACTGGTGCAGTTCAAGAAAATGTTTCCGAGCACTTTTTTCGCCCCTCTGATCAGCGTAAAGGAGAGTTCTCCAGACTTCCCACTGCAGTTCCATGTGGGGTCACAGAGTCAGCCTGTGCCCCTTTTTACAGCAATTTTTTGTTGGCTGCTAGTGATGTTTCACCCGTCAGCCTTATGGCTGTTGCAAATACCAATGCCCGTTCCTGACTTGGGGATGGGAATTCCTTCTGGCTACAGACCAAATAGTGCTGATGACACTGAGATCTGCCATGTCTTTCTTCCTTTGGCAAGGGGGTAGTTTACTTGGAGTATTTACTTGGCCTGTGTCAAGACAGGACATTCCTAATTTTCATCAAGCAATCGTTTAAAGGCAATTTGTTTCCAAGGACATGTAGAACATGTCCTTCTGGTGGATAATCTTCTCCTTGGCCATGTCACTGATGGAAACAACTGTGACTGATTGCCATTTTATTAGCACTGGGACTTTCCGTTGCTTTTCTGAACAAGCTCACTGATGTGTGTGTAGGCAGACAAGAGCTGCAACTTGTGAGCAGGAAAGAAGGGGAAATGATGGTCCAGGACTAAGCACCAATGGTTTCAGTTTACTTTTGTCCCAAGGCATCGTGTATGACCAAATCCACTAAATTTATTCGCAATGCTGTCTCTCATGTGCAGGATCACAGCATTTCTCTACCAGCTACAGACACTGAGATGTTAAATACATTAGTGACCATGTGCCACAGACAGATTTTTACAGTAAAGGGAGGCACGGAAGTAACTTAGATTCTTTTGCACTGGGATTATACAGTGTTTAAAAATGGCTTTCTATTGTTTTGGCAGCTGAAACGTCTGCAAGTGAAAAGACTAGACACGCTTCTCTTTAGTGCTTCCAGTTATTTGGCTTAGGCTGGCTGGGTATGCTTTTCTGTATCTGCCAGAGCAGTGGCTGACTGGCCTTCATAATGGACATTGTCAGGAAAAAACACTAATTCCTCTGGCGTTTCAGTGTTTTCCTCATTGTTTATTTCTCCCTCAGTCTGGGGAAGAGATACACAGTCATTTCCTGATTTACAGGGATTGTCATCATTCTGATGCATTTCAGTCTCAGATTTTGCTGAAGACTGCTTATGCTGAAATGAAAAGAAGAAATTCTGCTTTTTTCCCTTTGTCTATGAGATCTTCACGTAGAAGCTGAAGATGTAAACGAAGGCGGCTTGTTGCTTTCATGTACATTTTACTGACTATAATGAAAAGGCAAATAATCAAAAGTCACAGCAAAGAAGAGGACTGCACAGGCGCATGTTTTCATGGTCAAGTACCACTTCTCCATGCCTAGAAGATTCACTTCTATTGACATGCCTACATGAAATGAGCCCATAGTTTAAAGAAGTCTGAAAAAACCATGAGTCTTCGCGCTTTATATGTCCATGGCAGCCTGCCTTTCTGGCTTCTTTCTGATTGTGAGGCTGATATTTTCAAAGCTTCTCAAGATGATTTGAACACTGTCTTTCCATGAAATTTGCTAGTACTTTGACATTGAAACCTTTAGGCAGTTCTAAAAATCTCTCAGTGAAAGATTTTGAGGGCAGAGAGGTTACACCTCAAAGATGAGCAGAAAAAATCCCACCCTCTGTTTGCATAACAGTTTTTTTTGCAACATACTACTATACAATAGATAACATTGTATAATTGTTTAAAATAATAAAAACATTGGAACTCACATTGGTAGATGTGTAGAAAAGTCTCTCCTAGCTTACTTGTGAGGAGGGGTTCCGGCAAGTCTCTGAAAAATTGCTTTACCATGTCTGCCACATCATATGCCGACTGGTCTTCATAGCTGACATTTTCTGGGGAGCTCTCATTCATCTGACGTAGGGCCTGGATTCGGGATTTCACTCCAGATTTTCGAAACAGACCCACCTAAAAAAGCACCGTGTTGAAATGAGTTTTAAAAAGAAAGTTGTTTAAGGAATATATATATTTAAAAAAAAATATATAAATCTATTGCAGGCAGATCAGATCATGACCAAAGCTTGAGTTGCTTATTTTACTCTAGGCAAGAACAAGAGAAACAAGTCAAATGTGATGGTCCTAATTTTCCCACAGTCTTGTAGGCAAGTGCCTGCTCTCATGATGGGACTGTAAGAGTTAATAACACTGCTGCTCTTCATCCCATCCTAGAGGGAGAGTTCAGAGTGCATGTGGTTTCCCTGCTGCCTGAAGAGTTTAAGCAAGATGCTCAGCTGATATAAATCAGCAGTGGCTTGCTTGGCTTGGGTGACTGTCTGTTGATTTACTCCAGCTGAGAATCTAGTTCCTCTTATTTATTTGGGTATGTATTTTGAAGACTAACAAGAAAATATTATGCTCAGCTAAGTAATAGATGCTGTGGCAAAAGATTAGTACATCCTGGTAGAGCTTTAAAATCAAGACCAAATCTATTTTTTTCCCCTTCCTGCTCTCTGCTTCCAACAGTTCCCCCAAATCCCACTGAAAACCCCAGTTCGAAAGTGGGGGCCATGAAGGGATGACACCTACAGTGTCACTAAGATACATTTTTATCCTGTTTGCTCTCTACTCTAAAGGAAGCGGTAATTCTTGAAATGACGCCTGCAAGTGCCTTCATGGCAGTGCTGCCCTTTTACCGCCCTTCTCCCCAGTGGAATTCCCCCGAGGCGAATTCCTGAGCCTTAACCACATTATTTATTCCCAAGTGAGTTTACAGTGTTTCACTTGGGAAGTGTCAGCACTGTTTTCCTTCAGTTTTGCAGGGGAAAAGGTGAAATATTGAGAAAGACCAATGAAAAAGGCGCATTTCAGGTTTGGAATCGTAGACTTCTGCTCCCCTGTGCCTGCTGTCTCACTGGTGGTCAGTTCAGCTTTCTGCCTGGCATAATCCGCCAACAAAAATGTGTGAAGGCAAGGAAATCATGCCTTTTGGCTTCTTCCCCTTACTTCTGCCAGTGCAGAGTTCACGTACCTCCCTCCTCTCCCTAGAACAACTCCCATGCTCAACTGTAGGGTATTTCGGACTTTTGTTAATTTACACATTAATGGCACTAATCACACAAATCACACACGCTGCAGCAGTTCTGTGAGGGGATGTATTTATTTACATGGAAATGAACTGCTACACGAGACTGGCTGTGAGTAGCTCTTCTATGTCTTCTTATTGATGAATTTAGTGTCACTCGTGAGCTAAATTTATACGTATGAAGTAGAGAACTGGAGTGTGCCCTGTGTACATCTTGGTGCACTGTGTTTCTGTTCGCAGGTGAAGCTCTGCTCTTTGTTCTGACAAGAGAATACAACAAAGAGCATCTGGCTCTTTTAATCTGGTTTTCCCTTTCTCTTCTTCTTTTTAAATCCCTTTTCCTCTTAAAAATGTTTGCTGAAGATACAAAGGACACATGCTAATTCTATCAAAAAAATACAGTTTTGGTATGTGGTAGATAAATGCGAGAGCAGAGGCTCAGTTCTCTGCTTTTGATGGAAAGTGTCCTTGCTGGCGTAAAGAACCTTTAAAAACTTCCAGCTAAGTCTTATTCGAGAGGTCAGACATCAAATCTCACCTGTGCAATCTCCTGCTGCACATCATTCTGCTAGTCTCGATCTCTGGTTTTGTTTAATGATATTTATCCAAACTGTTATTTCCCTTTTTCTTGGAAAAAACCATAATTAATCAGAAGAGGACTTGATAGAAAAAGATGTTTTAGGCTCTGTTCTGCAATATTACAGACTCATTCTGTAAATAAAATGGGACTATAAATCCAGTGATTTATCAGACACTGGTCTGGCCCAATCTCTTTATTATCCTCATGCTGTGGATCATCTGCTCTGGAAGTAGCCGTATGATGCGTGACAGAAATAAAGATGCAGTTGACAAAGGCAAAGCGGTTTCTATTTCACAAGTTGAAACTGAATTAAATATCCTACAAATACTGGTGAGGCTCCTCATGCCATCTTAGAAATTTCAGTGCCAGCAGTCAGACCTTACAACGATTTAGAGCAACCTCAGCTTTGCCAAGTGCGTGCAGTAGAAGTTCTGATGCCTGTTTAGGACTCTAGCCTGCCTTCTGCAGTGCACAGAACAGACACATAAGCAAGACGCTGGGAGAGACTGGAGGCTGCTTAGACCTCTGGCTGGGCATTAGGAGACTTTGAATTAAATGGTAACAAGCAGAGAAGCTCTGTAAAGCAGGGGAGCTGAATTGCCTGGAGGGTTTTGGCTTAGAAAGATTTTTGGTGGAAAGATATTTTAAACATATTCTGAATTTCTATTCAATATTTTCCCAATTCCACTCCAAGTGGAAATTCAAGCTGAGTTGCAATGGCCCTTCACGTAGCTCCGAAGCTTCCCAGCAACTAAACCCTCCCTCTCATAGCAGATACTTGTCTGAGACTGCCCACAGACACTCATTTGACTGCCTCAAATCTCTCATGGGCTTTTTTTCTTCTCTTTGGTTTTATCCTCCCTTCTATTTTTTCCCCCATTTACTCCCCTCTCTTTTATCTTTCTTCCTATTGCTCTGCTTCTTTGCTGACAAGCCGATCCCTATCCCCACATCTCCAGTGCTTCATACTTGGGCAAGCATCTCCTTCTCCAATTCCATCGCTGATTCCAGCCTTGCTGCATCACTGCATCACTCTTCTTCCTATACTGGGTTTCCCTGCTCAGTGCACAAACCCAGATTACCATAGCGATAACCAGGCATATTAGCTACCAAATATATTGCTTTACTGAATATATTGCTTCTAGTTGTCTCTATGCATCTTCTATTAATACATTTCCAACAGGCTATTTATTCTTCCCATCCCTCAACTCCTGTGCTACATATGGTAGGCAGAACTCACCTCACCTCACTTTTGACACCCAGCAGCTAGATGACAAGATTGGACCACTACAGAATCTCTTTACAGTCAACAGAGAGAAAGGATAGGAAGGACCTGTGTCTCCTCACTGGCTGTAAAGAGAAATGGATGTGGTTCATAGCTAGGCATCTAAATTTTTTGACTTCCATTCTGGGGAAAACTACTATAACCCAACAAAATAACGTGAACAGCAACCAGAACGGCAATTAGAAAATGCAAAAACTCAGAACTGACCACTTCCATCCTTTTTGTGTGCTCAGAGCTAAGAAAGCAGCAGTCTGTGGAGTAAAATGCTGGTTGTTCCTTTTCTAAAAGCAGTTATGGAAAAGGTCAATAATAGTAGAAGACTCAACTCAATCAGCCAGGGGGTTTCTCGCACTCCTATGTTCATAAAGATACATATCCTCATCCTGAGGGGAAGAACAGTAAAAATATGATTGGTATGTCCCTGCTCTGTGGCTAAAGGGAATAAAAAATCTGAAATACTTTGAGGATGAGGGTCTCCCAGCTGGCTTGCTGCAGCTAAGAACACTATAAAAGGAAACGTACCGTAATGGCTTTGGCATTGAACCCCTGCTGACCTAACTCTATCTGGATATATCTGACTTTGTCAACAGAATACTTTGAATATTTTGCTGACTTTGCTCTCTATTCTTGGACTTTTATTTCTTTGCTAAGTAAATAAAACCTTTTGTACCATATCTTGTGAAATGGTGAATGCAGTTAACCCTCAATGGCAAGAGTCAAGCATAAGCAGTGCAGATATGGGTAGAAGCTGGGAGTCTTGAGCTCTGATTCAGTAGACAAGAGACCCTTACTCCATTCTTTGAGGTAGGCTATTGTACACAAATCAGCAGGACTGTTACAGCTACAAGAATTCAACAGAGTAGCTGAACACAAATGTCAAAATGGCAAACCATTAGGATTGGCACCAAGTCTCAAATCATCAGAGAGATCTGGCCCAACATGTGATATAGCAATCTTCAAATAATTCTGGTGCTAAGTACAAAAAGCTTCAGTGTTGCTTGCTTAGGGTGGCTTTTCAGAAAAAAATTAACTGAGTCCCTGGAGTAAAGTTCATACCTGATCCAGACAGTTGTTCCGTAAGTAGCGTAGTGCTTGCTGTATGCTCTGGGGAAGAGGCTGTCCCGTTCTCTGGACATGAACTATCAGAGGCACACCAAAGACATTCTTGTCTTTGTAGTCAGGGACTTTCATTCTCTTCATGAACTTTGGCACAGACCTGAAAATTAACAGGAACAGGTTGCATGAAAATAGCAGAGTAAACATAGTCTCTCTGGGTAACACTGCTGGCAGAAATTGGTAACTGAGGGCACCTCCTTTTTTATAAAGATGGTGAAATAATGTTCAATGCACAATGCATGGACGTTTAACAATCTGTATAATTGATGGATCTCTTGACAATTTTGATAAGTTGATGGCCTCTCGCTCTACAATATAGCTTAACAATCTGTTCTAACAAAAAACTTTTACTGCGCAGCTGTCATCCAGCTGAAGCCAACATGGTTTAAATCATACATTAGGGACTCAAAGGAATGGCACAGCAAAGCACAATGCAGAGGATATTTGAGAGAAATGGAGGTTGAGTCCTCTAACATGCTGAATGATTTTTACACTACCAGTTACAGGACTTATTATTTCTATTGACTAACAATTTACAGTAATAAATGATGGTGGGAAATCCCTATGTGCCAGACTCATCCCTAGTGTTATATGATTCAACTTCAGTGAAGCTGGTGAGCTTCCTTTCTTCCAAAAATGACGGTGAAAACAAGAACAATCTGGATTCCCTTTGGGGGAGTCATGACTGCAGTGGAATTAAAAAAAAAAACAAAAGGATGAATACGACCTGAATGTGACAAGGATTTTTCTCATCTGTGTGGGAAGGAGATACAATTTGGATTAAATGACCTACTGAAGGAGTGCAGCACGTAACTTTACAGCTATTTAGAGTCCCACTCCTATAAAACCTTAGAGACTGATTATACAAACTGAAGAAATATTTGTCAGCAGGGAAAACCTCTGTACAAGCACCAGGATCTAGAATTCTAGTATTCTAGTCTGTTTATTTGGAGTTAGTTAAAGTGAGATTCATTTCAGTACAGACATTTGCAGCTGCAGGGAGCTACACCAAAGGAGAACTGTGATCTGGGGGTTCATCTTAGAATCAGAATAATTGAGTTTCAGCCCTCTAATGGAGATTAAGAAAGATTTGGCAGTCCACCCTGCCTCTATACCCACTGTGGAGTGAGGCATCTCTGGCGAGTGACCCAAATCCTCAGCCTTGGCTAGAATAAGCTGCCTTTGGAGTTGCCTGTCTTTTTCCACTGACCACAGACAGCCGGACCGACTTGTTCAGATTAAATTTAAAACTTTTTGGAGTGTCTGGTGTCAGTGAAGTGGATCTTACAGGTAGTTCCTTGTATCTGTTTTTCCGTTTCTAAAGACAAGCTTGTCTTATCTAGCTCACAGCTGAATTTAGTGGGATTTTGGTGAAGTGTGCTGAACGTGGAAATCACAATGTAAATGTCAAGTCATATTATTTTTGGATAAAGTGTCTCTGTGTATTAGGAAAAGTTTCTGTTATCCTTTTGATTATTTTTCAGATGCTTACAATCGATGCCCTTTCCATTCCAGAATACCTGAGTCTGTGTTGCCCATCACGGTTTGTGTACTATTAAACATGCAGATTTCTGTAGGCAGTTGCTACAGAAGGAGCCACCCTGCCAGGAGTCATGTCCCTCTGCCCTTCTCTGAGTGACCAGGTAGCTGTCACAGCTGCTACCGCTGCAAACTCCCTCTAATGCAAATCCAGGACTAGGCTACCGCTTAGATCTTTTGGTCTGCAGAGAAAAGTCCTGTAACTGTTCTAACCCTTCTTCTAAAGCACAAACAAACCTATACATGAAGTACCAGCAGCAGCTGTTTCTTTTCGAATCACAAAATGAATTTTGGGGAAGACTTACTGTAAACATTTCCTACTTTTAATCACTCTCTCCTACTCCTGTTTATTTTTCTGGAACTGGAGTGTTGTTAGAGAGGCCAGGGTTGTCTCTCCATTAGAGCACAGGAATGAAGTCAGATCTCCAGGATCTATTTCTGACTCTGCCACTGAGTCACTGGGCAGAAACGGATTAAAGGGGACGGTTTCAAATTCTACAGTTCTTCTAATTGCATTTACTGAATGTACTATCAGAATAACAGAATTAGGAGAAACTGTTTTCTTCTGAAAATAGCTCTCTCTCAGTTATTGATGGTACTCACCAGGTCCAGCCATGTTTGTTAGACATGGAGTACTTCTCCATGATGGCAGTAAGACGAAGCAGAGAGAATTTTTGCAGTAGATTCAGCTGGGCTGCTGACTGATTGCTGATGTGAAGTGATGCGATGGAGTGGCTCAGGCGATGAGAGATTTGGAAACTATGCCATCGCAATCGCCTTTAGCAAAAGAAACAACAGAAAAATCAGAGAATTGCTTTAACTGGGCAGAAAAAGTTGGTATATACTGTGAGATAGGGCTGGGACAGTTCACAAAACATACATAAACACACACATTATTGCTCGTGGTGTGTCAGCTGAAGGAAAATGTAGCTTGGAGGCAAATAAAACAATTTGCTCAATCTCTTTAATTTTGGATTGGAAATGCCCAAAAGCTTAGATTCACAAGTGGGTGTGTGTCCTGTCCATGTACTCAGGGAAGCAGTGCTGCCTGCTATGCCCTTTAGCCCACACATTTCCAACAGCATGTGGGAGATCCGGATTCAAATGTTCTCTCCCTGACTCAGAATCATAGCATTTGTACTGGGATTTGATGTCTGGTCCCTCACCTCCCAGGGGACCAGCCTGACCACCAAGGTATTTGGAGATGAGGTTCTCCAAACATCTCTACTATTAAATACTGAAGGATTTTTTGGAGAAGGGATTGAACCCTGTGTCTCCTTGGCAAGAGCCGTAACCACCAAACTATTGAGCCACTCACATCTTTTCTTTACTCCAATACACTTTCTCTATGTACTGGATATATTGGGAAAAAAAAAACCACCATTTCAGTTTCTTGTTTTGCTAAACAGCAGTTCTGGCTCAAATCCTAAAAACTTTGGCACTGCTCATTTACTCAGCAGTTTCCTCGAGTTCATTCACTTGTGATGGTGGTGAGCAAGCACAGGCAGCAGTAAACCGTGGCATGGCAGAATCCTCTGTGAGCACATGTCAAGACTAACAGCAGATCAGAAAATGCCAGGTTATATTCTCACTGCTTTTGCACTACGAATCCACCCTACACACAGCTGTATGGATCCACAAAGGACTGCTTCCTTGGCTCAACAGGAACCCATCCCTCTGACTTAAAACAGGTCTGAAAACTATTAACAAAATCCCACTTTTCACTTTTATTAAGAACTTAATTTTATACCAGCATTTCATCCAGTCATGCAAGGGACTGAGGCAGGCTGGGGAAATTCTCTTTGAGCACAAAGGGACACATTTTTGAAGCAGATGAGTGTGTTAAAAAAAGTGCACAAACCTACTGATGCATAAATACTTGGGCGCATAAGTTAGAAGACAAACTGAAAATACATCCCACAACATATACAGGGTCCTACTATATAATCCATGGATCAAGAGAGAGAAAAAAAGGCCCTAGTTTGCTCTATTAAACCAATTCTCCATTGATTCCACATAGGAATTTCCCTAGCAGGATGCCCCTTCTCCCGAAGTCTCACCTTTCCTCAGGAGGTCCCCATCCCCATACAGGATGAGTATGGTACCCTGCACCTTCTGACGTCCAGGCTGAGAGTCTCTGATTCATTATATTTTATTTCACAATTTATGGAATTGTGTACAAAATCTTGCTACTTACCTGTTTGGCCTTGTGAGAGAGGCTCCCACCCCAGAGTCTCTCCTGTCCCTAACACCAGTGGCCTCTGATTCATTCAGGGATGTTCCATCTCTGTCCATGTCACTCGGTGTGGTCCGGCCATCAGAGACAGAGTTTCCTTCAAAATCAAGCGTGATCTGCGTGGGGGACTGGAAAGGTAACGATGGAGATTCCCTGACTGACACATCAGCAACTGGCAGAGCTGGTAACACATTCTTTGACCAGTCATCTACTACCTCCTGGAGTCCATTGACATGTTGCAAAATGTCATCTAAATGAGGAAAAAGGACATCTTTCTCTAAGTCCAAGAGGTCCCCAGTGCTAGCATACAAGTGGGAACCTGGAACATTGTCATAAATACTAATTCTGCTCTCTTTAGGACAGCAAGCCATCAATCCGGACTCTTTTGGAGTAGAGCAGTTCTGCTTTCCCAAAGAGATGCTGCCTGTCCTCCAGTTTACACTGTTACTGTTATCTGTAGGGGAGAGGCTTTCAATAGAAAGCGCCTTTGGGAAGGTCCCCGGTTTGTGGTCCTTGGGAATATGCACAACCAAGTTCTCTTGGGAATGAAATTCATTTTTGCGATTTTGGTCTACCACTTCCCGTAAGGCTGTTCCGGCCAGAACATCTAGGTCCTCCAGGTACATCCCACCTCTCTTGTTTGCTTCATGGCACTTGCGTTCCTTCAGACATGGTGTGCTCACCCCACTGCTGCTATTTTCAGACTGACTGCTGTCACTGCTGGATTTGGCAGAAAAGGAAAGTCCTCTTTTGACTGAATCTTGTCCTAAATTTTGGAGATCACCATTGACTATCTGTACACAGTGCATGTCTTTCAAAGACTTTGGCTCACACTGGAGAACAGGTCCACTTATCTCTAAAGGACCTGTTCTTCCTGAGCCTTTTAGTTTTCCATGCACACCTTTTGCTTTTAGTGTCTCCATGCGTTTTAGAAAGGTTCTTGCTTTGGTTCGTGTTGGTTTCTCATTCTTCAGGTTGTCCTTGGGGGACAGGGCGGTGTTTATTGCAGTGGAGTCTTGCAGCAGTGTGCTTTCTACATCATGCTGGCCAGAGCAGTCGCAGGTCTCCCTGGCAGCGCTGCTGTTGCCAGACTGACTCCTGTTGTCACTTCCCCCACTGCTCTCACTGTGAATAGAGGAGACCTCAGGTTCACTCAGATCTGTAAGGACGCTCTCGCTGCTTGTTGTATTTTTCATTTTAATGTCCCCAGAAGATCCATGTCTGTCTGACCGGTGAAGCAAAGCATCAAAGTCGTCCACCCGAGACCATCGTCTGCTGGTTCTTTGGAAAGTCCATTTATTACTGATAGCACAGAGGTCTTCTTCATCTGAATCTTCACTCTGGAAAACAGCAAATTGTTCGTGTTAAAAGCAGGTGGTTTTACTCATTATTTGAACAAATGTGATTGTGCTGCTCCATGTGAGAACAGGTGGTAAGGTCTCCCTGAATCTAGTTTATGAAAGATTGGTCATCAATCCTTTCATACTTTCATAACAGTCTCTTTCATTTAATTGTGAAGACTGCTACGAGGATCTTAATAAGTAAAGAATAAAAGTCTGCCCTATTTTAGGGAGCGCATGAGTTCCATCAATACCTCTAGGCTTCTGTACCGTGCACACTCCTTCAGTACATTTGCCTGTGTATTCAACTGTGTAGGACTGATGCCCATAGTGACTGTTTATTAAAAAACAGGGTTTTATAAGGTCCAAGTACAGGGATCCTGACTTGCAGGGATGATGCACACAGTAAAGACTTGGGAAGAATCACAGAATTGTCTACGTTGGAAGGGATCTTTAAGATCATCGATTCCAACCATCACTGCCAAAACCACCACTAGACTATGTCCCTAATGCTCCCTGAGGAGCCGGGTACCACAGCAATGTGAGCCATTTAAGAAACCAAGACAGCAAATATCCGATGCTGCACTTAGTTTTGCAGTGAGAACTAAGTAAACATCTATAAACTTCACAGATCAGGTACATCTAACAGGATTTATGTTTCAGGAACATAACTACAGATGAATAGCCACGATGCTTAAAATAACAATAAACCAAATATTTGGAGGCATTGCTTAGGGTGGGTCTGAGTGCAGGCAAAGGAGGGCAACCATGGAGGTGTGGGGCAGAAGCAGCCAGGCTCAGTCCTGGATGGGGCAGCATCCACAGCTGAGGTGAGCTTCCCTACAGTGGCAACCACTATCTTTATTGCCTTTTCCATCAGAGGCACCCCAAACTTGATGACCTCCACCCTGCCCCACTGTCTCTGGGTTCCCCCAGCCCCTCCTGAGGCCGCAGCAGCCCCACAAGCCTCCCTGGTCTCATCCCTCAGCCTGGGGCACGCAGACCTGGACTTATGTTTAGGCAGCTCCAGGAACTACTCTGCAATGCAGACAACATGCACCTTGAAAAAAAATTTGGACAAAAAAAGCTCTCCCTATGACATTTTTCTCATCTGTTTGCTCAAACAAAAAAGATACATCTTTCAGCATGAAGCACGCGGTCGGTGCCGAGCTCGCTCTTCTCTAAGGATGCGAAGCCCACAGTTGCTAATGAGTATCCTTTCCCTGACTTTGAACTGAGTTTATACTGTGTTATTCTTCTACGTTTGTTTTAAAGCAGAACAAACTAACTTCACCTACATGACATCCAAACAGCTCTTCACATTCTTGGAAGCAGTATGAAGGCAGTAAAATATGACAGGCTGTCAGACTAAAATGAGGTGCTAAACCAGAAAGACTATTTTGGGACTGGAAAAATTCTCATTTTAAAAGTCTATTATTAGAAGTATTTTTCTATGAAGTTTTGATGGTAAAGTTATCTCCCATCTCTGACTATATCTCCGCTGGTCTGTCTAATTGAAAAATGTAAAACAAATTGTACCAGAACCCCCAAAACCTTAAATAATGTGAAACCTCAAAAGATGAAGGTTGGGATCAGTAGTGTGCCATAAACGTTTGCCAGTTTATCACTTCAAGTCAGCCAGATGTTTCAGATCATGTCCAAACCATAAAATAAAATATAGCTATGAAATTTTGGGTTTAGTCGTTCCTGTTAATGTTGAGGTGTGCAGTGCTCCTGCAGCTGATGTTAGTTCACAGGAATGAATGGAGACCTTAGTTCTGCTTCTAGCTAGAGAAAAAATTAAGCAGCTTGAGAAGTGGCAGGAAAGGGGCTAGAAAAGGCCATTTTGTCTGCAGGGAAGTAACAGCTCTACCTTCATTTTAGCTCCACAGTCTGCTGTATGCATATACAGAGCAAAGGACTGCACAGACTCAGGCACTTAAAAATCCATCTATTGTGGTCTTAGCAGTGCCACAAAGTGGATATTTTGAAAACCGCAAGGGTATGTACTTCTAAATATTTAGTAGCGGTAATTATATCTACAAAGCATACCATTGCTGAAGCATTGATGGCACCAGCCAATAGGATAAAAATATATTTTTTTTATTTGTTGTACATCCCAATATGCCAAAGGGACCTTAAAGAAGATTCTTGGCTGACACAAATCCCTGTAGCTGCAATGATATTACTGTATGAACCAACAGGATTTAGCCTGAATTTTCTACAAGCTGGAATCGATTAAACTAGCCAAAGTGGTAGAGACACTGTGAAAAACACCAAGTAGAGAGCACAGAGCAGGAGACAGAAATAAACATCAGTTCAGTGGTGACTATACTTTAAATCATTTTTAGAGGAAAATGAGTTTTGAGATTTTTTTTTTTTTAAGAAAGTAGAGATGAACAGAAATGGATATTGGTAGTAAACAAGTTTTGCCTCTAACCACAACAAAGATAGGATTACATTCTCCCCAAGAACCACTCAGAAAATATAGAGGGGTTTCGGTGTCGAAATTTGCAGCTCAATAAGGTTTAATTTAGTTTTTTTAGTTGGTAATGAAACATGCTTGTGTTTCATCAGAAGCAAAATCAGACAAATGAAATATCTGGATACTGAAATGCTGCCATGGTGACTCACTCCAAATTCGTCTGCACTGCAAGTCCTGTGACATAATGTGCTTTTTTTTTGATGGAATCAGTAGAAATTCTGGAAGCCACGAACATCCTGAATGACCCACTGCTCTTGTTAGATATCGGAGTGCGCTGACAAACGAGACTCTCCTGAAAAAAATGCAGAGAGCACTTTGCCAACTGACATGTCACCAGCTATGGGGACAGTGGATCAAGAGTAGGTCTGAAAGCACTGATTCATCTTACCCAGGCGGAGCAGGCATCTTGGAGCAGTGACTGTACACTTCTACTGACCTAGGGTGAAATCAAGTGCATGGCTTTGGACCATACTCAAAAGTCCACTTAATACCATTATGTTTGGGAAGATGAGAAGGGGCAAGTTTCTCGGGAAGTGACTGATAACATTTGCCAAAGAGAAAGAGGTTTTGATTCACAGATTTGTCTCAGTTGATTTAAAATAGTACAGCTTTTTTGACTGAGGGTGTACTTGCCCAAGACACAGAGGGATGCTAACAAAAGGCAAAAAGTGGGCTTATTTGCGGTGGAATTCTGCCACATTTTTCCAGCTGGGGGCAGGAATTCTCATAAATCGACAGCTGCAGAAGGCAGTTAATCCAAAGGCTAATCTCTGTCTGTCCAAATTGCTTACGGACATATTTGCAACACATACACAAGGATTTCTGTACGCACCTCAATGAAGCCAAGGGGGAGAGAGCAGCCCACAGCATGACTGTATGGGGTGGGAGAGCGGGTGGTGGGGGACACTCACCCCGTGCTGGCTTTCACAGTAACCTTGCCTGGCAGCTCGCTTGGCCGTATTTTGATAAATCACTCAAGCAGCTGCGCTAGCCCTGGGCAAACCTGTTATGCTAAACCCCCACAGCAAGCTGATTTTGCAGTTCATTGTTCAGATCACCACAGAGACTATTAGGAAAGACAGTATCTACAGTAAAAAAAAAAGTTTACTTGGTTCAGTGTTCAATTCCGGCCCCAATTTCCAGCTTTTACACTTGCATTTACATTTCCTTCTTTCAGCAGTCTCTCCTCCTTCTTCTCTCCCCCACATTCTCTTCTACTTTCACATGCTCTGTATCTGTTGTCCTAAATCTCCTTTGTCCCCTATTTCTCTATATTTTTCTATGCTCTGCTTCTCCCTGGCCTTGTGCGGGTATGGACTCAACTAGTTTGTGTCCCCCTGAAAGAGTACCAAGCAGGGCAGTCTCACTTCCATAGCAAATCAATGGTCATCAGCAAGAAGAGCAGCTGAGGGCTTCAATCCACTCAGAACAGGGAGGAGTGGCAGCAAAAATGAATAAAAGCAAAGATAATAAGAAAAACCTCCTTTTTTCAACCCAGCAGACATCTAAAGAAGCAAGCAAGCAAGCAAGCATACAAACCTCACACCAAAACCAAAATACTTGATGAGAGAAGGACAGGAGCTTCCAGAGGACAATCAGTGTTCCATCACCTTTATGTTGCTTTTTATAATTCTGTCTCTTGTGCAGCTCCAGTATCTCTGCTTGAACACAAGCACACAGGCGCATGGACGCAAACCAGACGCTGCTCCAAGCAGGTCAATGACACAATCGATCAAGTCCTATTTTGTTGAAGGACTCAGTCTCTTCCTACAGTCCTACCTGCTCAAATCATAAAGTTATCATGTGATCAGGGGATTTTACTGCTCCTTCTCTCAGATGTGATGTGGGTGTTCGATGTGAAAAGTGTTGGCACTCATCAAAGACAAGAAAAACCCATCAGGTCTGAAGCAGTGAAGAGAAGAGGTCCCTGCGGCTTCAGTGAATGGACAAAATGCAAGCTAAAGATGCTACATACACAGAGGAACAAGTGGGCATCTGCTGAAGACAGAATACCTAGACATGAAAACTATACTTTGTTCAAGCCCCCTCACAGAGAGAACAGAGTATGAATAGACTGAATCTGCAAAGACACCAAAAATGCAACTCTAGGAAGTAGCTTTTAAAAAGCATTAGACGCTCTACGGAAGGAAAAACAGACACCAAGATTTCTCAGAATCCACATTTACCACTGTACAGCACTGAAGGGCTCGGGGGAATTTGTGACCAGAAAATCAAACGTTCAACAGTTAACACTGGACATGTTACAAAACTCAAAATCAATAGGCAGTTTCTGCATTCCTCACCGAAACCCTTTAAGCTCAAGTAGTTCCCATGTTACACAGGAGCTTGTAAGAATGACAGAGTTTATTTCCATGGTCTTAACTGGGAATAAGTCAGTACAAGAAATAAAGAAAAGCTATTGTTTTCGTCTAAGCAGCTTCCACTTTTTGCAAGCAGGATTTTCCATTGTGTACTCACATGGCATTGGCAAACAAGCCAGCGTAACGAAACCGCACTGTTTTCACCCGTATATTTGCACATACGCAAAGTTTTAAGAACTGCATGTGCTCTTTTAACACACGTAGTATTGTTCCTGCTGTGTTAGTCAGAGGGTTTTTTTTATTTTATTTATAATTTCAAGATTCAGTAACTCACATTATCATGTGTCCAGATTATGCTGACACACATGTTCAAAGCCAAATACACTTAACTTACTTTAAAGACCTGACTTAAAGGCTAAATAGGGGAGGTCTTATCACAAAAGCCAGGGCAAAGCCAGCACACTTCATGAAGTTTCCTTACCTTTTTTCTTTGGAAGTTCACATCGAGTTTCATTGAGGCGCACTTGTTCAGTGTGTTCAGTCGTCTACAAGGCAAAGCAAATTCAGTAGATTAGCAGTCTCTGATTAAAGGGCATGACTTTTCATAAGTTCAAAAGCTTTTCTCTTATCTGCCTGTAGGGTGCCAACTGCATACAACAGGCTTCAGAAACGATACTGGCCGTATTATTCCAGGCTACGAGACCACTGTGTTAAAAGGGAATCTTAGCTTCCCATTACTTGATAGCTAGGTTTTATACATTGCTTTTTAATTCATAGACATTTAAGTACATAGCAAAGGAACTGGGTATAAACAAACACCTCTGATGCCGGGGAAATGACAAGAGAAGAAGGAGGTAAGTTGCCTTCTGCAGGACCGTAACATAATTGGGCTAAAATGGGGATTTCAAAGCATTGGTGAAAGACAAAAGAAAAAAATGCAGTTCCTCATTTAAGGCAGTTAGCACCTCCTTTAAAAAACTGACATAAAGAAGACCTTTGTAGCAGTTAGTTAAACGGTCCTCCACAGTCAATCATTCCTTTCCAATACTTGTGGATCTTACAGTGGGTTAACACACCCAGCGTGTAAAAAATCTAATATATTTGAAAAAATACTTCTAGTTATTTTTGACTGTGTTTGTAATCATGTTTTCAGGGACTCTGCAAGGCTTCTGCTCCTCAAACCCAAGGCTACCCCATGACGACAGTGGGTTGAAATGACAATCAGATAAAGATGGAAAGTCAATGTGCATGTGCCCATGTGCAGTAAGAGGATGAAAAACCATGCTCTTTCAATAGAGAACCTACCATGCTAATCATAATTGATTAGCTTTTATTTATACTTAAAGGTCCTGATCCATGAAACTATCCATCTCCTGCAAGCAGAGGCTCAGAGTTAAATACAGTTGACTTTGAACATTTTCCAGATTTAGGGCTGAATTTCAAAATAAAGAGAGGCAGAGTGAGAGCTGTGTGCCTGCAACACTCTTCTGCAGGCTGCCTGCATCTCCTGAGCCTTTGCAGCAAGAGCTGCCCCTGTTGCTTCTGGGTCTCAGGAAGAGGCTGCAAACCTTCAGAACTGATAACATTTGAAATGTATGTGATAAGTTACAAGGACTCATGAAAAAAAAAGTATCACATCAATAATGTAATCTCTCACATAGCATAAGAACATTATGACATTAACATATTCCTCCCCGGGACTTCTAATATTAGAAATCCTCTCAAATTGCCACTGCTAATGAAGGACCAGCCCATCAACTGTGGATCTTCCTTAAAAAAAATTCCCTTGCAAAATATCACCTGCTCATATGTAGATAAAATACTCCTCCCTAACTCAAGCCAATAAACCTGTTATGCCATATCAGAAGAGTCCTGTGCTCACCATATTAATGTGAGTGTAATGCATGCAGAAGCACACCCTGCATGCATGATAGGAAACATTCTTGTAATAAATTTCAGGCTTTGTGGCTCTGTAGCTATATCTTCAGCCTGCTTCCCACAAACCCTCCTCCTCAGGAATTAAATCTATTATTGCAAAGCTCATCTTTTGCCCAAACATGGTATTTCTCAACCCAAAGTAGCATTTTCTTGAGACCCTGGGGATGAATAATGTTCAGCACTTCTTTTGAATGTAAAACATTTAAAATTGCATGTTGATACTGAATCCAAATATACAGAGGAACAGACATATTTTCAAAGGACTCCAACTCAACCTTCCTCTGAGAGGTGAACTGGGGGCTCAGCTTGGAGACCCTGCACAGGGAACAGGGCTCCATCCGTTCACTATGGTGCCATTTGCCTTCTAAAAACTGAGAAGCAAACCAGCATTTTGGGAGCAGGAAGCGAGGAAGCAACAGCCCTTTGCCCTGTTTGCATCCAGGTGCTTGTGGATGTGCCCAGCCAACAGCAGAAAGTGCCGTGATATTTCTATTGAAAAGGGCTGCTTCCTCAGCACAGAAAGGTGCACAAAGCACACGGTGAAACCAACTAAGACCATCCAAAGCCATCTTCTTCCCGCTAACGGCATTTGAGAGCAAGATCGTTTCAGCAGAGAACTGCGAGGTCAGCTCTATAAACGTGAGTATCGTTACTTAAACTGGAAGCTTGGGAAGCCACATCATTGTCCTGACTGCTTTCTAACCTGGCTTTGCTATGAAGAACTCATTTCATCAGAAACAAAACTACTTTTTACTGGGTGCCAGGTGCTCGACCTCAGGTTTTAAATTCACCCATCTACAAAACATCAGCATGCTTTCTGGGGCTCTTCCAGTGCTGTGGAAAGATTTGCCAGTGAAATTAGAGAACTAATGATGATATTTGTGAGCTTGCCTGGTACTAACAACTCCAATCAAAGCCAGTCTGTTTCAACTTCTTATGCCTTGCTGATGTGCCAGCAGTGGCAGAAAGCTTTTCTCATCTGCTTAAAGTCATTAGATGACTGACAGCCAAGTACTCAACAAATCTTTCAAAAAACCAAAAATAAAAGTATCTGGCAACAAAACGCTGTCACTTATGTCCCAGTAAAAGTGAGAGGAGTGCTACATTTTCCCATCACTGCTTAAAAACATGGGAGAAGACTGCCTGTTTGTAATGTTAACAAAACACAAAATCTGGACTTCAGAAAAGGCAGGAAAAAACACATTAAATACACGCAAGAGAAGTGGCTGTATAAAAACCAAATCATCTCGGATGCATTTGAGTGCTTGTCTGAAAAGCTCTGCAGTGTTCAGGGGAAGCCTGCAAAACATTTACTACAGCAAGGGCTTCACTGATTTTAATTTTATTTCTTCTCCAGGCCATCACAGGTAAACACTACCTCTATGGTTTAACACTTATGTCTATGGTGGAACATCATCTCTGTGTTACAAATGTCCTTTGATACAATTCTTCAACACCAGCAAAGTGATTGATGTGCCGAAACAGAGATGTCTGGTGGTATTGTAGATCCCCTAGAGTACCAAGCCTGGCCCTTCAGCTGCTGCAGGTGCTCTTGGGCGAGCCAGCCCATGCAGAAGTTTGAGATTATTTTAGGAGATCTGAGATGGCATTAGACATGCGTATTTAAGGCTCTGAATCCCAACCCCAGTGCTGTATTTAATAACCCTTATGATGGAAGCTTTTCAGAAGCAGGAAATCTCTGACTTTAGCATCCTGTACAGCACTAAGCAGTGTTTATAAATAAATGCAAGCTTGTAGCAACGCAGGGTCTGATTAGCTGAATAGCCTCATGGGTGACCTGTTGTCCTGTTTGAAGAGCCATCCAGAAAATGGGAAAAAACTTTAAAGCAACACGGAGCTCCATGCGTTCCCCTGGACCTGTTCTGCAGCTGCTTCCAAGCAGGTGGTGGGGAACGCAGCCAGGGGCACCAACTGGTTCTGCTGGAGGAGGTACCATGGGGAGGGTTAGTGTGAATGGCACAGCATCTCCAAGCTATGCAGATCTGCAAATGTCCTCTTATGGATTATAGACTGTAAGAGGACGAGGCAAACACATTGTATGGTTCTGTAAATTCCTGACCAAGGGAAATGATGACCCTATTTATTTGTTTTATCATTATTCCTAGCCAAGTTTAGGTGCTGCATACACTTATCTCTAGCTGGCTATCTTCTGGTCCTGTGGAATTTGGGAAGAGGCCATTCAGCTCCTCATGCTGCTCTCTGCTGAGGTCTGAAGGCTGAACAAAGCTCCTCCTAGTACCAGCAGGGCTGGTGTGTGAAGCTGGCACTGGCATGTCCCTGCTCCACCAGTTTTGTACATGAAGAGAATATACTATTTTCCAGTCCTATCACTTTTTGGTCAAGGCTGCAACTGAGTGAGTTACCTTACAGGCTACACACCCCCACAAGCTGGATCAGCTCTCCCTGACATCAGCAGAAGCTGCTCTACTGACTTCAAAGCAGGACTTTCCGTATGGCACGTGGAGAGCTGGTCTTCTCTCCTAACGGCACCTAGAGCAATGTAACTCAGCAGACAGAACTCATGATACAATCACTTCAAAACTCTAATAGCTGGATGTCCCATGTACAGTGACCTTCAGATTATTTACAAGCTATCTAAGAGATACTAGCTATGGAAAAAAGAGACTGCTGGCTGCTTGGCACAGTTCAAATTTTAAGAGCTTGATTTAGGACCTATGTATCAGATCGTTACATCCTTGTTCTTTATGATCTTAGTCACTGTATTTACGTGAATACAGAAAGTACAACATGGCTCAGCTTTTCCTTCTCACCCTCTTATCACAGCAGCCACAAAAGTTCCCAGAGCAGAGTTGGTTGCTGCTATTTTGGTAACGACACAGAGATCCAACTATAAAATTTTCATGCCCAATTATTATTTTGGCAGGCTGACAGCGTTCGCCTGCAGATTGCATAGCAATTTTCTATTGTTCGTTACTCAATAAAATCTGAGTGGAATCTCTTGATAGATACGCCTCTAACCCAAAGGCCTCAAATTTGGTCTTTACTCTGCCAAATTTTCAAATGATATTATAAACAGCAGGAGTGTTAGAATATCTCCAAAAGGTCACTGAAATCCTTTACAACAGGGAGTCTTGGGCTTTCTGACTAAAATACTACCAGCTGCCTTAACAAAAGTTCCTCTGCAGTTGTACCTCATGTTGTCTTGTGTACTGCAATGCCATAAGAAGACTGATTGTAAAATGAGGTTAAGAGGCTGATTTCAATCCACGAGAGCAGAGAAATTCACTGTTTATGCTAGAACCATTACCATTCAGAGCTAAAACTCTGCTCAAACTGATTATCCACTCTGGCATTCCAGCTTTAAAATTACCCTCCAAATAAAAATGAAAACCCCATTTTGTTCAGTAATATGGGCTGAACGCACTATTACTCAGTGTGAAGGCTTGGTCATGCACGGCTTCAAGAGCACTTTTGGGTGTTTGAAGAATGGAAGTTTGGCTCCCAACCTGGGAATCGGTCCATACAGAAAAAATAACCAGCCTTTTTTTCACTTTTTATTTCATAAAAGCACATCACAGCCTGTGGCTCTCGTATGATGTACTGGCATGCACCTTGTAGTAGCATCACCACAGAGGAAAGCAAGGGTAGAAAACCAGCCGCAGTGGTCAGCTGGGCTGTGAGGATTTCCAGTGCACTGGAAAACTTGGAAGATGTTGGTTTGATAGTTACTACAGCAACAAAGCTGGTACTGGGGGCAGCAGCTGGCACTGCTTACTGTTTCTGATGAACCTGAATCTTGACATTTGGCACAATCGCTATTTATGGGTCTCTCTCAGACAAAAGTTTGGACCTGCTGACTTACAGCAAATCAAATGTCTGCAATCTGAAAACACAACCTGTACATAATACTTGTATCTCTACCTGGATAGTATATGAAGTGTTAATTCTTTTTTTACATCTAAACTTTTTAAAAACTCCCAACAAAAATTCAAGTTAACAGGTGGTGTTTTCTGAATAAAATCATTGCAGGAAAATTTACTAGACAGTCATAAGCACCTTTGTCTTTGAATAAAATAGTTTGGAAAGATCCAACGTACTACAGGTCTCAGCAGTATCACTTGATTTAGGCTAATATAATGTATTATGTCACATAAGTGCACCTCTCCAGCTGCTAGTTTATTTTCCAAAACCTCATCCTTTAATAAAAGAGATAAAAAAAAACCCAATCTCTAGCTGTTCAGCTCACAAAGAAATCTGCATAAATATATCAATCTACTGTCATTGTTGTAAGTCTTTCTGGGAGTCTACAGAGAGGCTGGAGGAACAAGAGGGGAGCTGTTCCCATTTAGTTCTGCAGGTTTTGGATGCCTGGTGACCATAATTGAAGTACTAACATTGCTAATTACTTCAGAGAAGACAGACCAGAGAAAGTCACAGAGCTATGCAATGACTACACCTCACTGTTTGCTCTCATGATAAAGGGACAGGGACGGACATCATACTAGCATTTTTGGATGGTCTTTCAACTGGGCAGGAGTGAGCAGAGGGGAAGAGATCTCAACCTCCTACCACTACCACTTTCCAGTTCCTGAACGACAGCAAAGTATGTCTTCCACTGTGCAAGACTGAAGCAAGGGGAAGCACCCACATGTAGGAAGAAGGTTTCTTAAGCATGGGCATAGCAATCCCTCCCACCAAGCTGTGCAGTGGATCATGTCTGCAGTTATTCTGCTCCCTGGCATCCTTGAGAGGAATCACTGAAGGATCCAAGTCTTTCCCACTGATTTTTACTACACAGAGAAAGAGAATATTCTGTTCCCCATGACTATAATAGACAAAATGAGAAACAATAGGTCTGACTTGCAGCAAGGGAGTTTTGGGAGAGTACTCTGACAGCTATGCCCAGGAATAACCTGGATTCTCCAGGAAGGAGTGTATGGAGAGATGGACTAGATGAACTCTCTTCCAGCCCTGTCTTCTATGATTCTCAGAAAACCTCTCTGTGGTCCTCCACCACAGACTCATTAATCCCTGCAATGCACAGTATGATGTACAGTGGAACAGCATACATTCTCGGATGACTTTAGCCACAGTTGCAGAAGGGGAAATAGAGTTTTGTCCAATTATCTTGATGTTGGTGTTGTGAAAGTTTCCATAACATGTAATAAAGCCTACTTGGTTAGGGGCCAGATGCTCCTTTGTCCTTGCTGAAGAGGAGAGGAGCAGAACCCAGCTTGAGCTGAGCACAGGAGAAAGATGAGGGGAACAATGCCTCTGCAATGTGGTTTTGCAAAACTGCCACAGAATTGCTGCTTCTTGAGTCCTGGGGGACAGTGCTTGAGCAATGCAATACGGTACATTCATCCCAGGCAGAGTATAAAAAGCTAGATAAACAGCAAACACGAGCCCTTGGGGAGGAGCAAACCAGTCATTAGTTGTAGCAGTTGTAGTACTGTGGTGTTCTGGTCCCACTTCTGTTACTGGTGCCAAAAGGAGAGTACCAAGGGAATCAGGGCAGCATGAAAACCACGCCTGCTGCCAGAGAAAGTACTTGCTGAATTCTGTCCAATGAAGTTTCATCTTTTCTGCTGTGCTTGGACATAAGAGCTATTCATGTGCAACCCAAACATGATTCCTTCATTTATTCAGGGTATGCTTGTACTACTGCTAGTGCTTTCTTAAAAGGCAGGTGTTTCAAATCCATTGGATTTGGGTCTTCTCAAATCATGTGATGTTTTCTATGAGTGTAGTGAGTCCTACTCCAGGATTTTCCATAAAAAAAATGAATTCAGAATGGCATCCTAGATATCATTGCTTAATTCATGTGGAGAAGCAAACATTTATGCTGCTGCTTCTGCTGCTAATCTAACAGTAACAAATCAGCTCATGTTTTTAAATTATCAGAAAAGAAACTTTAGGTGTTATTTACCTGCAAAGAGGTTCTACAAGGTCCTTGTCAAGAAAATCATGATCTTTCTTTACTGCAGCAATGTCAATGGGAAACTGGTAGTCTATAAAAGGAGACACAATATTAAAATGACTGCTTGCTATTCAAATGAAAACACATTGTCTACACCTAAAATGCTTTGCATGTGCTTGCTCACAGAAATCTAGTATCACCAGTTTCACTCTGGTTCCCGTTTCAGTTACTTTATTATTTTTTTTCTGTTAAAAGTATAGTTGAATGTCCTGTGCACCAAAGAGACAGCAAGATCATTTCATTTTGACTTTAATAAAATACTCAACTGCTAGCTGTTCTTTCTAGTGCCTAGCACAGATGAATGAGATCAGAGAATTACCAACACACTTTCTTTATCCACATGAGCAACAAGGTTCTCCATTCCCATTACAGTGACTTAATGAATTATTTGCTAGACAGACTTTTCCCATGAAATAGAAATGTTCTGTGCTTCTTGCTTTTAACACAACTCCCAATAACAACCATTTCAGACAAAGGGTTACTAGCGTAACAACAGAGACAAAAAAATAAGCTGAATTATAACTCCCAATATTAACTAAAAAAGCCAGACGAGTGTGCTGGAAGCTGACATTTGTAATGAAAAGTGACATGGCTGCAACACATTAGTGGGATCCATAACAGTGGGACGGGTTCCAGTGCTGTGGCTGCTCTCCAGGCTGCTCTGCCATGCTCAGGCACCCCAGCAGGACAGCAGGATGCAGGAACTACAGCCAGCAGTCTCAGACACTAGTGCTTAACACTGACATAATAGATGCCCATAAAAAGGACCTTGTTTTCCGAGACGCAGATTGTCTAGAGTGCATATTGACTTTATGGGAACTGTGGGAGCCCAGCACAGGTTGTGTTTTGGAGGGAACATCCCTTTGAGTTGGGCAGGCAGCGGGCTCTCCTTTCCATGGAAGAGTCAGTATCTGAGATACTCTGATTGCCAGGCAGACACAAAAGTGCTACTGGGCATCCAGAGACTGTGATAGACACACATCTATGTCAGCCTTGGCAGGCTTATTAGTCTTAGTTCCTTGCTGGGTTTGACAGACTGACTGGCTCCTGGGGAGCCATTTGAGCATCTCTGTATGGTGCTCCCAGTACCTAAGACCTGAGTGGTCTGTCAGGAGCCAGCACCTGAGCCTTCAGGGACCTCAGCTGGCCATCAGAAGCTGTAGAGGTGTCCTCACCCATCCCACGTGTGGGGATGGATGGTGTCCGAGCCGGCTCTCAGCGGAGCTGGCTCTGACCCACAAGGTTTCTTGGCCATCGCTCCATGTGTGGAGCCGTGCTGCCTCCAGACCCAACCTGACCCTGGAAGGCATCCAGCCACATTTGGCAGAGCTGCACTTCGGCTAATAAGCCCGAGTGGACCTGAGCTGGCTCTGTCTTTGGCAGAGAGAATATGCAGTTTGGGAAAAATGAGGATCAGCCACAGTTTCTCTCACTGAGCTATGGAGAGCAGGAAAAGCCCAGCCTCAGTTCTCAAACTGCTCCTGAACGCAGCAGCCGTGCAACCACTCGCCCTGCCCTCGGGGACACTGCTGCCCTGGGCAGGAACTTTATAGCTAGGAAGGGGACATGGCCATTTGCTTTGAGTTAACATCGAAATACTGGCTTTTCTTGCTTTGCAATTGTAAAATACAGCTCAGATTTTCCACCTTTGGTAACTTTGCAGAGTTTTCAATCTTATTTTCAGTAAGAGTAAATTTTTTCAGTGACTTTCAGTGCTTTCAATCTTATTTTTGACATAGTCCAGGAAGTTAAAAAAAAGGAGACCTATTATTTTGGGTTTTTTGTATTTGTTTTTTTTTTATTTATTATTATTTGTTTTTGTTAACCTTTGAGATTTACACAAAATACGTCCCTCTTTTTTTTCCCTTCCCATGGCTATAAGGGCAAAAACCTTACTTTTCTTTAGGCACTGGTATGACTCCAGCAGCTGAGGCTTTGTGAAACAGCCAGCCATGGCCATAACTCAGTCAAATGTAGAGTTGGCCGACGGCAAGCTCTCCTGGCAAGGGCCCAGTGCACTTTCAGTACTGCACAAAGAGGAGAAAAACCTACTTACTCTCATAGAACTGAGCATATTGGGGAAATCCAGCTGCACGTAACCAGTCACACGCTTCCTTTGCTTCAATTTCTAAACAAAAAGAGAAAAAAAAATCACACTTTGTTACATTGCATTAGAACTTTTTTTAATTATAAGGAAATAGCAGAGACTTGGTCTTATGCTTGCTGCTGTTTGTTGCTTAAAAGTGCTATCATCTATCTGAAGTATATTTTAGATCATCAGAAAATAAAATAGAGCCCCTTGAATAAATCCACCCGCTTCCACAGGATCCTACGGTTTGATGGGGATGAAGTATGAATCATATCCATGCAGCAGGAGAAGTTGCTCATCCAGGTTTTGGTCCTCATGTCCTACCTTCCCCTAAGGGTAAGTTGCTGGGGAGATGTGAAGACCAAGTGTGGAAATGGGGTGACAGGCAATATGCACTGGGTTTTCTCCTGTTCTGACACTTCTTGTGGAGAAAAATCCCATGTGAAAGCCACTGAAAGCTCTGCCAGGAAAATGCCAATGCAGGTCTCATGTTACTGACGGGACATTTGCACAGGTGGGATGCACCTTCCTACCTTTAGCCATTTGAACTCCATTATGTAGACTCTCTCCACAGTCAATAGAGAGACAATTAATTCCAAAGGGTGATTCATTTTACCTTAAAATAGTGTCTAAAATAGGTGGGATAAATCAACTACTGACAATGCTTTTCTCTTGTGGCTGCTAACAGAGGGATGATAAATAGCTACAGGTATGTCTGTGCAGTTAAATAAAATAGATACAGGCAGCAGCTTCAAGCACTGGACCCCGGACTGCTCACTCTTTAATTTTAATCCACTTCCAAGCTTGTTTTGGAGTGTTTCAATTATCTATCAAGATAAATCTTTTCTTGAGAAAGCTAGTACTAAGCAGTGAGGAGAGGAATCAGTCTGTGTCAGCTTGTCACTGCCTCTCCACTATTTAGAGGTATGGACACAGCTGATGCTGGACTAGGTTTCCCCTTTCAAACAGCTTTAATTGGGTAAAGTATATCCTACCCCCATGGAAGAGGTGGCGGAATCATCAGCTGGACGAGGGAATAGTACCTCTTTATTTTGGGGGTGACAGTAGGGAGAGGTGACCATGAAGGAATGGAAGAAAATCATGTTCAAGAGGGGGACTACGTAAGAACTAAAGCTTTTTTCCAAGGGAGAGACAGATTGACTCTATGCAATTACTAAAGCAGCAGTAAATAAATGTCAGCTCCACAAAACAGACGATAAATTTTGAAGTGTCTCCAGTGAAACAGACTGTGCGCTCCAGCAGTCACACATGTGGTTATGCACCCAACTTCTGAGATGACCGATGCATGTTGACAGTATGGTACCTCGATTTTTACCAAGCTCCATGGGCTCATTTTATGGAAAGCAGTGTGCCAGGTCCTGCTTTGCCCAGCACCCGCACTGCCTGCATGTGCAGCTGCTCCCAGAGCAACTGGAGGAACAACTGAAAATAGAGGTTCAACCAGACAAATGTGGGTTTCTGGGAAAACCTGGGCAACATCTCCTTGCTGCCCAGATCTAGATCAGGATCTACCACTTGAACAGTTTTGGTTTACAAGATCAAAGTCAAAACACGTATCCACACCTCTTACATTTGCAAAATGCTAAGGGATGGAGTGTGCAGGTGTTGAAGAAAGCAGACATTTTATTTTACTTATTATTCAACCTGAATGAACCAGTCAAGAGTTTTGGCATGTTTGTTGTTGTAAATGTAGGCAGCCATAATACAAAACCCTAAATATAAAACAAGCAATGGAAATGGGAAAAGAAAATCAGGCTCAGTTGCTCTTATGCATACAAAAAAAAATATTAAGTTGTAAATCTGTTTCTGTAAATCTGTTCTACTAAAATGCATTTTTATAGATAGGGGATGCTGGCGTGAATTTTTTCCCCATGTAATTCTGTTCAAATCACTCATTATACCCGCAGCCACTTTATCCACTGAAGCTCACTGTAAAATCTGCTTTGAATATACTCTGCAGTAAGTGACCCATACACCTTTCTGCTCCTCTAAACACTGAGCCGTGCCAGCAAAATTTGTTGCAGAAATCAAAATTCAGAATAGAAGGTCTATATATCAAAAGCCCAATTTCCCAAAGACGACCAGACAGCCAGTAACAGCTCTGCAACGGCTGCAATCATTAGCAGTGCTGAAAAGGATTTACCACCAGGTCTTCATTTGCTTTGACATTAGTTCATGTCAAGGCCAAAAAAAGGAGTATGAAAGTACATTCAGTTCCTAACACTGCACAAAAGAATGAGCAGCTTACATAAAACGTGGCTCTCACTACTGCACATCTGTGTGCTGAAAGCACATCTTTATTATGTTCCAGTGAGGCTGAATATTTTTATTAAATGCTTGGAAAAAAGACAAGTCTTTATACTTTTTTTTTCCTTTTGCTTAATTCAATCTCATGGAACACAGATGAATCTATCCCATTTCAAGATGTATTTTACAACTCAGAACAGCTGTATGTACATTCTAGCTTCATCTGTCCTGGAAGCACAACTAACAGAGGCTGTGGGTGACGGACAATGCTACCATTTAATGCTCTTATATGCTTATCATATTTCAATGTTTTTTGCAGTTGACTGTTCAGAGGAGCTTGCTGAGGAATCTTCCTGCAGCCCATGTGAGATCTGAAAAATCTCAGGTTGCAATGGGTAATTGCAGGGGATAAGCAAGGAAGTAAATCTCACCCACTGTTGGGTTGGTTGGCTGTTGGGTTTTTTGAGACTGTAACACACTGCAACCAGCCAAAAATGATTGATGGATTAACTACTGATTTCAAATCTTTGCCTATGTCTCCTCCATGAAGAAATCTATTGGAAGTATTTTCATTTTCTAAAGGATGATCTCAAACAAATTGATTTCCCCTCAAATAAGATTTGCTAAGTCAGCTTCCAGGATACTGGGTCTTGGACATGCATCAGTGTCCAGTTCCCTCCCTTATCTCTCTTTCCTTTTTGGCTTTATTCAGAGGACAGCAGGAGGGAAAAGTATAATGTGCTGCTGGCCCAGACAAAAATATTACTTTGCTCGTAGGAGTGTATTTCCACTGGCTAAAGGCACCTGTTCCAGCCGTTCCCCTCTTGGCCCCTCCTGCAGTTTGGGTGAAAAGGCACAGCCAAGGATGTACTCCTCAGCAGACACCAAAGGTGATTTCTATTATCTCACTCTGGGCATGTAACCCATGTTACAGTTCAGAATGCACTACAGATGCTTTCATTACTGGATATTGGAATGCTTAAAACATCATTTGAGATAGTTTAACCTTCTCTTTCTGTGCATATATTCTAATATTTGCTTTTTTGTTACTTGCTAGTTAAAAATCAGTGAAGACTTCTTTGAGAAGGGATGAATACAGCACCAAACAGATATTGCTGAAGCTGTCAGTGAAGGGTTGCAGAAATACTTTTGGCAGTATTGGTCCAGTTCTGTTCCCATGTCCAGGCTAACCCAGGGATCTCAACTAGCCTGCAGCAGCTCCACTGTCTTGGTGCAACCCTAAAGTACTGGGAAAACTACATGTGTTCACAGGTAGCACCAAGGCAGCTTGTCAACAGCACAGAGAAGGGCTATCATGCCGAGAAGAGTGATTTTAGAGAGGATGTGGCTTGTAGTTTTGAGCTCAAGGCTCTCAGGAGCCATAGCTCCTCTCAGAAGCACATGAGCCACCACTGACCCACAAACAGCATCTTGGTGTGACCAAAAGGCTGCTCACCCCAGCGCACCTGATGGTAGGTTTTTCCATATGCACTACTGCCCTGCTCTCCTGATGGAAAAAAAGTCAGGGATAATTTACCTATTGCTTTCCAATTGTTTGGGCAGCAGTTAATGTCAATCGTTAATTATTAAGGCTAGATAATAATTCAGTCAAAAATATTGACAAGCATCAGCATGTCTCAGAGTAGATGAATTCTCAGGGTTTTTTTATCAGTTTTTAACTGAAGCTTCACAGGAAACAAATTTCTCTTTTCCATTTCACTTTACTGCTAGTAGCAAGTTATAACTGAAATCCATACACACAAAGGCCCTCCAGCCACATTTCTGGGGAGCTCAGGGTGATGATCTCCTCATGGCCTCCATGTCCCCCTCATCTACCAGCTCTTCCCTGGAAGTATGTCCAAAGTCTCCTGCACACAGACGTTGCGGCTGACCTTTCTCATGTTTCACTCCAGAGGCCCTCCAGAAGTTGCCCCTGTGTCAACAAAACCTTTCGGTGCTGATATGCAAGCAGGGACTTAAAACCTTGTCACACACTTCTTTGATCAGCTAAGCCAACTTTTTTTTTTTTCTCCCCTATGGGTTTGTGTCTTAATCTTTCCTCCTACAGTACTCCCACTGTGTATTAAATTAAATGTTTATCAGAGACACAGATGCCCAAAGCACATATCGCACAGTAGAGATTGAAGTGCAAATCTCTGCTTTTTTTTAAATTTGTTTAGGATGTAAGTAAAGCGAAGTAAGGAGGAGAGGTTCACCCAGGAAACATGACAGATGTTCAGAGCACAGCTGGGACTTGGCTTTGAGTCCATCTCTAATGTGAAGCAGTTTTGAGCTTGTCTCCCGCAGACCATATGCGTGCTCTGGCTGTTCTGGGGCTGAAATGGAGATGCTTTCTTGCAGTCTTTCTTGCTCTCCCAACACTTTCTCTGACTCTTCATAAACTGCTTTGACAGTGCCCAACACCAGAGGAAGACTCCAACAGCCAGATGCCACCAAAGGGGACATCCTGCCCAGCCTACTCCACGCCGGCTGGCTCCTTCTCCTGCTTCCCCTTGTGCCACACCAGCTCCTGGCCAACCCGTCAGAGATCCAGCTCAACCCTCTAAGCTGGCAGAAAACTAACCTCCCAAACCAGAAATAGTCTGCTGGTGGATCTGACCCAGATCCTCTAAGGGTCCCGTTTAGTCCACATTAGCTGCATTTTAATGAGCCCAAGAAAACCAAACCATTGGGACAGTCCTTCCTCACATGAAAGAATGCTGGATACCTGTCTAAAAAGCTGTTTGGATAAAATTGCTCTATCAAGAGAA